GCCAAGGTTGGACACCCCTGGTTTACACTGTCATTGCGTGTTAATCTTTCGGCTGTCCCAAGACATTTAGAGTATTTTTCCTTGCAAAAGATTAAAAAAAAAAACTCCCTCTCTAGAATCAGTGTCCTGGACTTATAACCATTTGTCCAATGACCATTCAAAGTTACAACAGCACTGGAAAAAGTGATTTACGACCATTTTTCACACTTACAACCATTGCTGCATCCCCAAGGGTCCTGTGATCAAAATTCAGATGCTTGGCAGGTGACTCGTATTTATGACGGTTGCAATGTCCCAAGGTCACACGGTCACCTTTTGCAAATGTCTGACGAGCAAAGTCAATGGGCAAGCCAGATTCACTTAATAACCTTGCTACCTAACTTAATAACTGCAGTGATTCACTTAACAACGGTGGCAAGAGAAGTTGCAAAATGGGGCCAAATTCACTTTTATCAACTGCCTCACCTAGCAACTGAAATGTTGGGGTGGATTGTGGTTGTACTTCGAGGACTACCTGCAGATGTCTGCAGATGTGTGTGTGAGAGAGAGTGAATGCATACATGTAAAAAGCACGTCCTTCAGCCGTTAATTGGTTTTCCCTCTCGTGCCCTCTCTTAGATCCTGAATGGCTTGGCTCAGACGACCGGCTGGCCATCAGTGGTGACGTGTGTCGGTAACTGGTTTGGAAAGGGGAAGTGAGTTTGGTTTCTTCATGCCTCTCAGATTGTTGTTTGCTTTCCAATCCCGGTTGCTTCATCTCATATCTCTGGAAGGGAAGTCTTTGATTTGTTCCCACACAGACAGGAAATGCAGCCCTGCGCAGTTAAATGGGACAGTGGTTTGATTGATTGCCTGGTGCCTTCTTATGCTTTGCATGCTGGCCCTGTGGCTTCTGCCCTAAAGGAGAGCTGCTGCAGTGACTCTGTGAGATGCTTTTCAGATGATTGGTCATTGGAAGCCAGCTGACAAGCGTCATTGCTGGGCAGTGATTTGAACTCGGGTCGCTCAAATCCAAGCTGAACTCAAATGGGTTGCAAGGCTGCCCCGGGTTTTCAGACTCCAGAGCTGCATTTGGCCTTTCAATGTTATATAAAGGATATAGGATACATGATCAAGACAGAGCTGGAGCCAGAACACTAATTAAACGATACTTAATTAAATTCACTTTTTGCTTTTTTTAAAAATTTAATTTAATGCCACGTGAATATGTGCCACCCAGATGTCTGGGGCATTAGTTCTCATCAGCCCCAACCAGCATGGTCAGTGGTAAAAGATGGTGGGAGCTGTCAGTCAAAAATTCTGGGAAGTTTACCTGTAGGTTGAAGCACTGGTCCAAACTGCCAGAGAGATTTCACGAAACCGACTCCCACAAAGTGCTGAAAAGTGCGGGCTCCCATCTGCCTCAGAGAACTGAGTCAAAAAAAGACAGAAATTTACCGTATGTCTTTTGTTTCTTGCCAGGCGAGGTTTAATCATGGGCATCTGGAATTCACACACATCTGTTGGGAACATCTTGGGGTCCTTGATTGCTGGCATCTGGGTCTCCAAGGCATGGGGACTGTCCTTCATTGTACCTGGAATCATTATAGCCTTCATGGGTGTTCTCTGCTTCCTGTTCCTCATTGAATGTAAGTCTCGTATGAAACAGAACCACTCACTTTTTGCATGATAGGAAATCCAATTTGCTTTGGTGGTTTGGTGATGGGCCGTGACCGTGGCCTGGCATTGTTGCTGGAGGTCAAAGATTTGCTGCTGTGCTTTTCTTAAATATCTGCGCCCCCCTGGGAGCGCTGAGGTTGCTCAGATTAAGCTTTATCATAATGGCGTTTTGTGATATTGTCACAAAGTCTGTTCAGAGTAGTGTTAATATTCCTTGCCTTCAGCCAGGCATCTTCTGAATAAAAGGTAACTTTTAATTGTAGCAGTCAGGATTCCCAAGATGGTGTATTGTAACCAACTTCCTCCCTATTCCCAAAGTGAAAAATGTGTGGAATGGGGTTAAAACCCTTAATTTTCCCCTGAAAATTACCTTTTTTAGCTGAAATGTCTGCAGTGCTAAATATCTTAATATGTATGACCCAGGAGAAAACAAATAATCCAGTTCAAATGAATATCATCTCACTAAAACTTTAGGGGTTTTGCTAGAGAAATGATAGGTAAATAATACTTGGTCTAAATATGTGTAAATAAAGTATGGTAAACGTAATGTAAATAACGTATTGGCTGAATCAGTTTCTCAAATTGCAAAAAAAAAAAAATGAACAAAAATGCTACAGATTTAAAGAAAAGTAATCCTCACATTTTGGATCATGCAAGCCATAATTGTCATAACATCAACATGGAGAAATACCTTGATGATGTGCTAATGAGATCGGCTCAGGGAAGGAGCCGGCCTCTCATGTGCCTTATTTCACGGGCCACGTTTATTTAAGTGGCTGTCACCACCTAGTGGCAGGTAACAACATCACTACGTTCTTCGCCAGAAAATTACTTTGATATATGTATTTTACCAGGAAACATAGGTAAGGCAGGCATGAAAAGTCAGCACCCTCCTGCTCATACCCATGTGCTCCGAATCCATTGGTGATGTCCATTTTACTCTCCTAATTCACGGACCCTAACCCTAAAGTGGAATGGGATTTTCCCATGTATTTTACCAAGAAAGGTAGATAATGGATCTTCAAAAACTCAGTGCCCTCATATTGATGCACTCTGAATCCATTGGCAATGTCCATTTTGCTCTCCGAATTCATGGAAACTTCACCCGAACCCTACCTGAATTTGTTGTTTATTATTTATCATTCCCTTATCTACCATATGTACCTAATACATGTAATTTACCCTAATTTACCATCTATTGGAGAAATCGTTAATTTCCAGTGAAATATACTTTTTGTTTCCATGTCTTTCAGATCCAGAAGATGTTGACTGCAGCCCTCCTCTTCACCATGTAAGTTTTATCTGGCAATAAATACATTTTGTTTGTCACAAAATGTGGTCACACGACCCCAGGATACTGCAACAGTCATAAGTACATGCCAGTTGCCAAGTGTCCCAATTTTGATCCCGTGGCCAGGGGGGATGCTGCAATGGTCATAAGTGTGAAAAACAGTCATAAGTCAGTTTTTCAGTGCCGCTGTAACTTCAAACAGTCACTAAACAGTTGTAATTCGAAGACTACCATGTATGTTTGTTTTTATACAGGAGACCAGTTCTGATGAGAAAGGTCTGGAGGCAGGACACTCCATCAGTGACAGGAGCCTGAATGTTTCTACCAACAGCCAAGAAAACATCATTGACATGGCGGAACATGCCAAAGACTCTGGGGAGGACCGAGAAGCCATCAATTTCATTGATGCCCTCAAGATACCTGTGAGTGCAGTCCTTACCAGAGCTGTCAAACACTGTTGGCCGCAGAGAAGGCTAAAAGAATGGATGTCCAACTTGCAACTTGTGGATGGCACTTAGAATCCACAATGGCATCAAAGTGAGATCAGCATGTCATGACATCATCATGCAAATGATGTAGTTAAAACAATTGCGTGCTGATGTCATGACCTGGGGATTTCATTGGTTTCCCAACCAACACCTATGGGGGACAGTTTGATTTTGGTCTAAACCAAGTGCAGGGGGTATGCTTAGCTTTTCTCTCCACATACAGACTCTCAGCTCTCAGTCATTTTGCTCTTCCTTGGAATTAATCCCAACAGGCAACCAATTTAAAAAGATCATGCCAGCATCTTTAGTACAGTGGATCTAATAGCAACTGCAATGCTGTTGATGATTTTGAACCAAATAAGATATTCACTCTCAGTGAGTGGCATGGTGGCCTCGAGGTGAAGACACTCACTTCCCACTTCTAAGCAATGATAGACGTTTCTCTATCAGGGGACAAAGAGAAAATATCTGCTGACAACTCCACATAGGCATCAGGAAGAGTATCCAGCCAGTCAACGCTAGTTCGATTCAGTCGGCCCGACTCCAATCTGAATCAAGGGATTTCAAGGTTGTAAAAAAAAAAAGAAAGAAAGATATTCACTCTTAGCAAATTCCTCTTTGGGCTGGAGTGTAGGTCAGAGGAGGGAAGATTAAATGTGACGGAGGGCAAAAAGTTGGATCACTTCTCCTCTGTGATTGTCCTGACCTAAATTAGAGCATCTCTTAACAAAAATAAATGAATCAAAGAATTGCCTGCAAGACTAGTTTGGGTTTTCCCCCATGTTTTGTTACTCAAATAAAAATTCAAAACTCACAAGCTTCATTTAAGAAAGATGAAACAGGAAATCAGGAAAGTTAGCTCATTAATCTTCTGTACTACATCAGATCTTGCTTTTTCTGCCTCCAAGCTGATTTTGAGCATTTGCTAATGACTAATTTCTCTCTCTTTGTCTCTCTCTCCATTGCAGGGAGTGATTGAATTTTCCTTCTGCCTCTTGTTTGCCAAACTCGTCAGCTATACCTTTCTTTATTGGTTGCCTCTCTACATCGTGAATGTTGGTGAGTCAGGATCAAGTTACTTTTGATCCCCAAGTGACAGTACTGGTCCAGGAAGTTTTGACATACTTGAGCAAGTTTGATTTATGGTGTTTCCAAGGACTATTTTGACACATAGCTGTCCAACACATCAAATTTCAGCAGTTGCAGGCCAGCAAAATTTAATGACACAACTGCAGGACCTTGAAAGCTGTTGTGTCAACTCTAAATCAGGATTAAGAAATTCAGGAGGGGAAAAAAAAACCCACAGGGTCTTTCTCCTAGCATGGAAAATTCCAGACTCTGCCACAATTATTGCATGCTCTTGCTTATTCTGCTTAAACTCTCCCTGGATGCAGAATAAGCAAGTTAAATGTGACCCTTGGTTGGTGAAACATTAGCCAATAGATATTATTAGATATTAGATATTATTAGATATGTTACATGAGAAAAGTAATGCTGTGGTGGTAGGTGAATCCTTGTGTGCTAAATAGTTTTCAAGTCAACTATTTTGGAACACACAGAGCTTCTTTAGATCAAAATAAATTGGGGATTTATTCAGCTTACTATTGTCGAGGTTGAATGGCCATGACTCTTCATATTATCAACAGTAGTTTTCCCAATATGGTTAATGAAGATCTTGTTTTTAAAAATTGAACGTTTGAGGAATTGGGTTCTTATGCATGTAATGCATTGTAGCTGTGGGTGCTGCTGATCCAAAGAGAAAAACCATGTTGGGGTTGCATACAGAGAATTTGTCAAACTTGGCTGCTTACTTCAAAACATTTTCCCCACTTTCAGTCCTACATATTGCACAGCCCAACAAAGCGTGTTCTCTGTCATGGATTGTTGACCATCATCCATTCACGTTGATTCCTCTTCCTTTCTGTTATTGCAGCTCGCTTAAGTGCAAAAGAAGCTGGAGATATGTCAACTCTGTTTGATGTTGGTGGCATTATTGGTATGTTGGATTGATTTCCTTAGAGCTTTCTTTTCATTTCTGCATTAGAGCCTAGGAAAAGGGGAGGTGCTGGGGCTGTGAGTTGACAGTTTAGAGCAGGCATAGGTAGGAAGATTTTGGGTGCAAATTCCACCCAGAGAATTTGCAATCTTTGGATAGCTTCTTTAGTGATTTGCAGATCATGAAGCATTTTTTTACTTCAAACTCCTTCCATGCATTTAAATTTAGATTGCTGAAATGAAAGTAGTGCCACCAAATCTTGGTTGGAAAAATCTGGGTACACAGTAGATGTCCGCCAGCAATTACACTTTTCTTTGTGTTTCTGTTGCCACTCCATTTCTCCAGGTAGCTCTGGCAGCTCTAGCGGAAAGTAGCTGGAAGGAAGAGGAAAGGCTGGAATGAGTTTTTGTGTAAGGGGTCTAGGAGCTCAGGAAAACAAAATTCTGCCCTGGAAAACAAAATTCTGGCCTTAAGTGTAGGATCAGCACCTGCCTTCCCACCAGCTCTTACTTTGGCATCTTCTACTGTGAAACCATGCCCTTTTGTCCTGCAGGGGGCATTGTGGCTGGTCTCATCTCAGACTATACTGGTGGCAGGGCCACCACTTGCTGCGCAATGCTTATCCTGGCAGCTCCCATGGTGAGTATTCCCACATCACCTTCAGGTTAATGAGTTTCTGTATCATTTTGGGAGGAGTAACTGTGTAAGAAGATTGTTAGCTTCATGCAGTATTCTTGTTGATCATTGATCAGTGTTGAATTTCACTGGCAGTTTTTATACACTGCAATCTGATTTGTAAATCGTTCCATCTCATCATATGTTTTACCAAATAAGCCAGAGTTGGCTGGGGTTGTGCAACAAGCTAAGCACAATTCAAGCAACTTTGGCTAAGGCCCTAAAGCCCTTGTCCAACTTTTGGTTGGCTTGATGTTTTGAAGCAAAACTCCCACAATTGCTTGCCTTAAGCCATGCTGCTTGAAATTAATGGAAAGCTCAAAGAGTTCCAGATATTTTGTGAGGATTGTATTATCAAAAATAACTGGCAATGTAAAAAGGGTCTGTTGCCACCACCCATTTGAGAAGGATGCTGTGTTCGTTTTTCTTTATGGATGAATTCTTACTTGTTGCTTTGATTTTGGTTCCAGCTCTTTTTGTACAACTATGTTGGCCAAAATGGACTAGGTACATCCATAGGTAAGAATGCATTACTTTCTGGAGATTTTTGCTACAAATGCATGTTAACTTCCCCCCAAAAAAATCAGGACTGAGTCTCACATTACATTGACCTGGAAAGCAATATTTATTGTTTGAGCCAGACATCCTTTTTGTTCGTAAGTCAAGGACTACCTGTCTTTAGCTGGAAAATAACCTGGTTAGGTTGTACAGCTGACATTCCTCCTCTTCCTTTTTTTTTTCTTTAGCCATGCTCATTATCTGTGGTGGCCTTGTCAATGGACCCTATGCTCTCATTACAACTGCTGTGTCAGCTGATTTGGTAAGGATGAACTTATTCTTTATTCACTCCTGCTACTTTTTTGCTTGCTTTCTGGGTCAGCACTGGCAACACACAACTTTTAATCCACTCAGGTGCAGTTTTGCAGCCCTGCATTTGTGTGTTTGTGGATTTTTATTTCAGTTTCCCCAGGAGGGAGGTGATACTTTGCACAACTGTAATTTAGTGAATTAAAATGGTAGCCAAATTTCACATGTGTATAATGTGTAGTTCATCCCTCATTTGACATCAAATGTCAAACACCCTGACTCCTGATATACATAGCTATGCATAAATACCTTGCATCTTCATCTGCTTTAAATTTTCTGTGCTTGAACACTCATTGGAATAAGATTTTACATGCATAGCACATTGGTTCATTTATTTGGGCACAGCTAAGGCATTTCTTTCCACCCAGTATAAACACGACATCTTGGCTCAATGAATCTCCGGGGAATGGAAATTCTTGGCTTAAAGCAATCCATAGAAGTTGAAACTTGGAAGGAATTTGAAACTTGGAAGAGAGCTGATTCAATGCAATTCTATCTATCCAGCAGATATTCTGGAAAGGTTTTCTGATTCTCCTGTTGGCCAAACTTTCTCCATAGTAACTATTCATGTAAAAAAAATCTTTACTCTTCTTTTTGGCTGATTTTTATTGCAGCAAGAATTACAATTGTCACTAGAAGTTGTAAAAGACAAAACACAGAAAAACAAAGATATTACACTATATAGTAAACAAATTATCAGCCTTAGCAAACTTTTCGTGCCCTGAGTCCTTCATATAGGATTCAGAAGGCATTCCTTTGCCCATCCTGAAGAGTAAACTACAGCTGTTTACACCCATGGACAAATCAGGAGGATAAAATGTAAGATATTTTTGAGCTCTGTGAAATTGCACATGTACCACACTCATCATCATCTGTTCAAGCACTATTTTTCCTTTCCATTTGTTTATTCATTTTTTTTTTTGGGTCCACTTCAGGGTACTCATGAAAGCCTCCAGGGAAATGCGAAAGCTCTTTCCACAGTCACAGCCATCATTGATGGAACAGGATCTGTAGGTCAGTAGCCAGATGGCTGCCAATTTCATCCTTGATTGCGTTTTAAGAAACTATGGTTGGGCTTAGTAAAGATCTCAGCAAAATTGAGGGCTTTTTCCCCCCTGTCTCTTAGGATCATAAAATGAAAAATGAATTGTAACCCTTTCCTTGCTTCATACAGGTAGTCCTTGAATTATGACTCAAATTCACAGAATGTCAAAATTGGATCATAAATAGCTTTGGGGGTATCCATTATAACAGTCATTAAGCAGTCAGTTGTAAGTCAAGGAGTACCAGTTCCTTGCTAATACAATGTGATCCATTTTGAGTCTAAATCCACTCTTATGAATGGCTGACACATAGTCCTCATTGTCTGGTCCCAGAAACATTCAAACAGTTGCATATGCAGGGTTGTATGTTGACACACAGACTTACACCTTTTCCTACAGTTGTGTCTGCATCTGAAAGAACAACGTCTTGAACACATTAACTTGTCCAGTTGAAGCTCTCAAGTAATTCTCCACATTAAAAATGGCTCTCATGTTTGGATACCACCCAGATGCTTCTCAAAAGCATTTCATTGTCCATCGTTTCCTTCAGAAGTCTAGCTAAGGACCTTGTCCCCACCTGGCACTTTATGTCATGATCTGTAACCGCATGCTTGTTGCCCCATTCCCCCTTCTTGCCCTCCTTGGGGACAGTTACTAAGCAAGGACTCCCAAATCTACTATCCTGGAAAGTGTGGACCATCTACATGACATGAGCTGGACTTTTGCTGGGCTTCTCAGTTGCTGATCTTTTGCATGATTCCCATTTTCAGGGGCTGCTCTTGGACCTTTGCTAGCAGGTCTGATCTCCAGCTCTGGCTGGGACAATGTCTTCTATATGTTGATTTCAGCTGATATTTTGGCATGTCTGGTAAGTACCTTTTCAGGAATTTTCTGCTCCCACTTAGCAGTCGGTTAAATTTGTTTACTTAAATGTGAATGGCAGAAGGTGAATTTATTGCACTTAAAAAAACAAAAAAAAAATTGGGGACTTGCATCATGAAACTTGGAAAGAAGCAATTAATAGAAGACAGTGTATTGGTTGGAGGAGCATGAATGCATTATATTTATATTAAAATAAACCAGATAAATGTATTCCATTGTAAATTTTTGCGCAGACCTCCAAAATTCACGGAACAAGTAATTTTGCGTATGTCCTCTGCTTTCAGCTCCTTTCACGAGTAGTATTCAAAGAAATTCGAGAATGGTGTGGCTGCTATACAAGAAAAAGAGGGTAAGTGTTTGAAAAAACCATATTCCAGATGTTGATAACCTGTATTCTAATCCTTTGGAAAAGTTCCAGCACAAAATTCCCTAGATTTTCAACATTATGAATCTCATTTTGCTCTCCGAATTTATGGGCATCTAATCCTAACCTTCTAGCCATGAGATAAACAAACATCTCCCCTTTCCAAGCCTGTAATGTCCCCTTAATATATTACCATATGTTCTTATAGCTTTTGTTTGACATTAACTCATAAATAGTGTTGGATACAAAATAACTTACAGTGTATGAGTATATTCACTATTTCTCTCTTCCTACTTAATGGAGAAAAAATGTGCAAATCTCAAGTATGTTTTTCCTTGCTGCAATACTTTTCCTTTTGTGACATCTCTGAGTTCAATGCAGTTGTGGAAATTCTGTGAAAAAATTATGCTTCTGGTCTGGTGGCCTCTTTATATTTTAAAAATTACAAACGACAAAATAAAATGGCAGGAAGATTTGAGAAGTTCTGGCCTAGGCAGAGCTGAACTAAATGAGGAAAGAATTTGGCCCATTGTAAAGCAGCATTCAGTGAAACCCATGGCTAATTCTGAAATAACATGCACGTTTGATAGTAGATTGTCCCCTCCAACACACACAATATAGTGATGTCAGATGTGCTATTGTATTTTCAACACAAGCCTGAACATGTTGAATTCAGCATAGAACTCAATTGAGTAGGTCACCAATTTCAGGTTGTTTGTTTTGCTAAACCCATCACTCCAAACTTCTTGTTCAACAGGTGTACTAAGCTTCATTTTCTTAAATTCTAAACAGTTTGGGGATGAATGTCAAAAGTCCAGTAGCTGGAAGGCAAGAATTTGGGGAAGTGTATTCCAAATCACGCCTATTCAGAGAGGGTGGTCTCCCTTTTTACTTGAGCCCCTTAATTAGTTCACCCAGAAATAATGAATTCAATGAATTTCAACTTGAGGAAACTTTACACAAGACATCTTGGAAAATAATTAGCATTACTGCAGGCATGACTTTGTCTGAACAATCTTCAGTGTTCCATGATTATGCTTTGTGTGCTAACAAATCACCTACCAAAGAATGTTGATTGTTTATTGTCAAGATGAGCAGCTGAGATGAACAAATTGAGTAATTTAAAGCACTGGTTCTCAACTTTGATCCTCCCAAGAAAGGCATGGACCATCTTTATGGAAGACAGTGTTCTAGTTGGAATAGATATTTAGGCATGGCCAACTTAATTATCAAACTTCCCAGTCGTGTACTATATCTATTCCATTCTTGCTTGGCCTTCATTTTATCATA